TTTGTCAGCCTGGCTACAGTGCTGAAGAGAAACCTGGGGTTGTTCTTATTTTCTTCAATCAGTGATGAGTAGTAAGCTGTTCTGGCTTTGTGGAGGGCTTTCTTATAAAGCAGTAATCCATGTTGTTTCTGATCTTTTATACATATAGTTTAGATTTTTTGCATTGTTATTGATGTAAGCATGAATATACTCCAAAATGCAGACTCTTTAGAAAATTTGGGTCATTGACTTTGTCAAAAAGCACCAAAACACACAGAAACACTGTGAATCCACTGCAAAGTCGCCAAAATATCTGGATTATTCCTGCGTTTACTGAATGCAGCATTGCCCCCACCCTCTGTGGGCTGCAGGCCACACCGAATCTACCCAAATGCCAAATTAGGTCTCTATAAGGCGTCATGAGTTTCCTACTTTATCGGAGTAGACAGCAAAACTCCAGCAAGACTGCGATCAGATCGAAATCCACTCAGGTCTGTGTTCCCTTCAGATCCCTGCAATCCTTTTCAAATCTCCTGTGGTGTTGTTGCGCTGCACTGCGAGGCGCAGAGATGCAAGATGGAACGAGTGTTTGCCAACAGTCACTCGTCAGCAAAGCTGCCGTCTGTTTACATCCCCATATTTATTGACCGAGCATATTTGTCATTTGATGCCGTGGTTCACCGCGAGCATATTCTCCCTGGATCGAAATAGCCTTCATCATTTAATCCTTTTAAGAGGGAAGCTGGGCAGAAATTACGACCAAAGTTACCGAAGGACGTTCGTTTGTGGTAAAGTTTTATGTAACGTCACAGTCCGACATCGCCGAGGTGCACTTTAGCTGCGTGGCTGTGGGAAGATGAATAACGCTGTGACATATTTTCACTCGGCGTCCTGTGTGTAGGGAGGTGTCACACTGTGCCGAGTCCCTCAGTGTGCGGCAGCACCAATGGCAGCTACGGGACCCGAGGACAGAGCTGGAGCGGGGCCAGACGGGACGGCGGCCTGCCCGGTGGGACGGCAGGCATGCGTCTCTAAGACAAAGCAGGGCAGCAACGGGCCTGGCGTGCAACACACTCTGGTGAGAAGCCTGACAGCGATGACATGTATTCTGTTGTCTGTGCGTGAAATTCAGGCTTGCATGGCATTTTGAGCACATTAGAACCACAATAAGCAAAAAGGTACGCGTCCCAAAGTTCAAACCCAAACTGAGAAAGAACTCGATGCGATCATTATTTCTTTCCACTGTGTTAGATGTAATGCACTGCCTGGTCAGAGGCTGGCAGCCACTTCCTTCGCACGCTGTTTCACTGGCAGATTATGCCGTCTGCGTGCAGGACGCCACAGATGGACAGGAAATATTCTCCTAACTGCTTTATTCATGGCCACAGTGGGGCTCAGGAGCAGGGTACCGCAGACGCATGTAAACAGCTTAACCCGTATAAGGCCTGAACAGTGTTTTGTCTGTTGTGTCAGCGTCCACTGACGAGCTGAGTGGACGGTTTCTGTTGAACCAGGGTGAGACACTAAATGGACAACTTTTCCAGGCTGCAACGAGGAACTCACTGTGTCATTGCCTCGCTTTGAAGGTGTACGGACAGAGCTGCGTCCAGGCTGAGAGCGGCCGTTACAAGAGCAACCTGGCCGCTCCGCTGCCAGTGGGACCCACGGTGCACCTCGTCACCGCGCAGGCGCCATACAGGTGAGGCACAGCGAGGCATAGACTGTACGTTCATATAGAAAAGATGATGTCACCCTTTACTGAAAGCTCAGTGTTAGCCGTGTTGTGGATTTGTTTCTTTGTTTTGGGAGGCACAAGTTACTATACGTGCTAAGTTAGCATCTAATGCTAACACATTTGGTTAGCAGCAGTCTGATGATAAACAACAGAATGTCAGTGACTGAAGGAAGCTCGAGCACAGACATGTGTGTTTTAGGGCTGCCACGATTAGTCGACTAGTCATGATTACGTCGACTATCAAAATCGTCGACGACTGATTTAATAGTCGACGCGTCGTTTGAAGCTTTGTAAGAT